CCCTCCACTTTCCTATCCAGTTCTGCACATTTATTTGGCCTTCTTGAGTCCTGAAAATTTTTGTGATTCCCTTGGATATTTAAAAAAAAACCTTCGTCCCCATGTATTTCTTTTCCAAAATACTCCATTTCATGACTTTGGTCTATGTATTGCTTGTCTCAGGTGCTATCTTTTGGGTCAATCTGCTGTTTTACTGGCTCAGGTCTGTGAACACTCCAAGGTGGGCAAAATAAAGACCAGCCCCATGCACCAGTACTTCTGGGGTCAGCGGAACAGGCCAAGAAGCACAAGTATGTTCCTTCACAATAAGATTTGTTTTGTTCCCTCTGGCACTAGCAACCTGCATTAGGAACATGGGCCAGCAACTTCATGGGTACATTGACTTGGGGAGTGAGGGGCTAGGGAAAGCTAAAACACCACAGGCTCTACTGCTGCATTGTGGTAGCATCTCTCCATTAGGTTGCTGTACACTCTCGGCTGGATTCCAGAGCTCTGAAAAAGTTAATTCTACAGTTTTTCTCTCCCAAGTTATTGACTTTTGTGGAAGGATAGGACCCCAGAGTTCCACCATTTTCACTGACATCACTCTCTTCTTTTCCTATTTATATCCTTAATTGGGTTTTTATATATCCCTGAAAAGTAAGTTTTTAAAACCTTGTATTCACATTTATAAAAAGGCCATTATGTAAGATGTTATCTTTTGGCCGCTTTCCACTGACTATTGCCTCAGTTCATCAGTATCGTTTTGTGTGACACTATGGTTGAAGTGTTCGTTGCTGAAAGCTGTTCCAGGATAAGATTATTTTGGGGCAATTGATTAGCTTCCTCTGTGTAAATATTTTGTTTTCATACCCTGAGAGTAGTTGGAATAAGAGAGTGCTTATTTTTCCAGATACTAATCAATAGGAAGTTTTAACGTTCCTAGTACATGTAGCATCTCTGAAGGATGTGTTAGCACGGAAGGGTGTGTCCGCTTGCACCTGGCTCAAATGTGAGGTAAGAATGTGTGTATACAAATGGAGGGGGAGAAATCCTCAGCATCTTTGAAAAAGAGTTGATGACAGATTTTGCAAGAAGTTGGATATGGATGGTAAAAAAAATCAGAAATTGAAATAACTTCTTAGAATTTCAAGCCTCAGAAGTTGGTGCTTTTGTGTTTTGGGGGAAGGGATGGCCCTACTAATAAAGGATACAATCAAATTTTTGAAAAATAGCAATGCCTAGTTGGATTTGCACAATATTATATGAATGTCTCAGAGTCTGGTCTTCCACATGTTATTCCTGGATCAAAGCAAAAAAAAAAAAAAGTTTTAGTGGTGTTTTTTTCTGACTTTGAAGCCTTCTTCCTCTGATTTAGCTTGCATCTTCCTGGTAGAAGGAAAATTCAATTTTACTGCTTCGCTGCTGGGCTGCATACTCTCCGAGTCCAACTTGTGACTTCCCGGCGCCCAACTCTCCACCTCCCTGCCCAGCTTAGCTCGTCTCCCCCCATCACCCCATGGAGTCAAGGCAGTGCTCCTTAGCATCAACCAGCTAATGCTCTAGCTATGTTTCCTTGGATGGTGAAGCTCCCCCCACCCCCTCACACCCTAGCCTTTTTGTCTCCCTGTTGCCTTTTAAAGTCTTATAATTTCTTTGGAATTCAACTCAATTTCTGTTCTTTTCCATTAAGTCTTTGCACACGTCTTTTCCTCCTTTTCGTAATAGGTGTTATATAAGCGCTACTACCTAAAATCAGGTGTCCTTGCCCTTAAAGCTCCTTCATGAAGCTGGCCAGTGAGGTTTGCATGTACTGCTTATTGGAAACACCATTCTCCATTTGGTATTTCACATTTAGAGATGTCTTAGGGGTCAATTTTACCAAAAAATGAGACTTTTCCAAAGCCAAGCTTCTTTAAGAGGCATGTCAGCAAAGCTTCAGAGTTGAAGGTTGCTGCATGGAAGTGAGATCATCTCTGAGCTTTTGACATGTTGAATTGGACTTAGGTAATCAGTGGGGCGGGGGGCATTAGGACAATTCATGCGTAAGGGAGAACAGTCTGTGCGTAGCAGAGCTTTAATTTGGGTTTGTAATGGCAAGTTAGGGCTACAAAGTCCTGTGGGTTCCGTTCTCTTAAGTAATTACTCTTTGGCGAGATCTGTCAGTTTTCTCTGAAGGGGACAGATTGAAGCTACTGTTTTAACTCTAGACCAAAGAGACTCTAACTGGTAGAATTTAGTACAAAGGAGACAGGTTTTGGCTAGTTCAGCAGCGTCAAGACTTTGCATTTTATTTTTACAAGAGCGTGCCAATAAATGGATATCTTTACTGCAGCGTTATAGAGAAGTTGGAGATATACGGTACCTGGGGAATGAAAAGTTAAATAATTTATGGCACAACTTCATTATGGGATACTATTCAAGTACCAACAAATGAGTCTTTCTGTGTAGATATGCGAAAAGAGGACCACAGTATAGTGTGCTGGGGTAGGGGCGGGGGAGGCCAGATGCAAAATAACGTATATGAAAATCTCTTTTTGTTTAGAAGGAAGCCATGTTGTTTTCTTATCCACCTCCATAGAAGGTGCATAAAAATAATAGTGTTAGGGAGCATTCCATCAAACTCATACCGAGTGCTAGCACTGTGCTTTGCCCTCCACATACCTAAATGATCTCATTTAGTTCCCACAACAATGCTATGAGGTAGCTAGTTACTTCACCTGCTTTATAAATGAGGAAACCACAACCTGGCGAAGTTAGGAATCGAGCCCAAGTCGCACAGTAGGAACTCCAGCTCTGAAACCTGTGCTTCCAACCACTTTGCTCTATGTGCTTCCTGCTAATCGTTATCTGCTAACAAAATCAAAGGATTTATTATTAAATATAAGCTATCCCTGATATTTCGTGAGGATGTCATATGAAGCTCACAGAAGATGTGAACTGAGGTGCCTCGCAGCTGCTTCCCTCCCTCTGAATTTGTGTCCAGGCTGCTGAGACCTGTAAATTTCTCTGTCCAGACCCCAAACCCTGCCATTACCCACCACCAGAGCATGAACACCCCAGGATGCCGTTTGCACTTTGGAATTCAGAAGACAGTTAAGCTGTTTTGTTTCCTGACTTCTTGTTAGCTCTAGAAACCTTGATGAGTTCTTCAAAGTCAAACTTCATCTTGCTCTAAAGCCAACTTAGTATGCAATAGCCACCGTTCTGACTGCTATGATAACATAGGTCTGCAGTTCACATTAAACATTAGCTCATGTTGCCTCGGGGTTTGAAACCAGTGTACCCAGAAGACATTTACAAAGAGACAGCAATGTTGAAATATTTTAAGAGCAAACAGGAGTTTTCCTGGGTGCTGACAGGGACACAGCTATGTTGTCTAAAGTCTCTATTTGAGTCCTCACCTTTCCAGTCCGTCTCAGTGGCCATTCCCCTCTCCACTTTCAGCAGTCTTGTGCCTGAGCATTTCCGCTCACTCTCTCTGCTAAATAGGTCTGCTGAAAATCGTATATGTGAAATCGCTTACTTGATCCCAGAAGTGGTTACATCAATAGAGGTCTCATTCCCCAAGGGGAGAACACCACCACTGCTGACCCATCAGGAAGCACAACTGGCCAGGATCACCAGAAACAAAAGCAAAAGCTTTTAAAAATATGCTCATATTGGGGAGAGAAATGCACGGGATTATGGTGATGGCACACGGGTGACTTGGTGATAGGAAACCCCTGGGGATTACAAGATTACAATTGAGAAGGAAAAAAAATGTACAAAATGATGTAAAAATAAACTTTTGTAAAATAAAAAATACATATATGCTCATATTTCTCATCAGTACAGCATTTGGTCACCAGAATTGTTAGCTCAGGTTATTGCATCCTGCTTTCTGCTTCCCACAATCCAATCTTTGATGCGCAAGGTTTGGGTGGGTTGCTTTTTATTACCTCCTAGTGGGAACCAGTTTCCCTGCTCATTCTCATTCTCTGTGATCTCAATTCACTACTGTTCTATGAGCTGAAGTTCTAGCTGAGAGTGGGAGACAATGAAGTGGGAACTGTCACGTAATGCATGAATTGGTTATAGGTAACATTTCTTTAATGGGTCAGAGCAAAGTAATGCAGGAGTTATGTGAGCAGGATGTTTATCAAGTATATAAGACTGATTATGTAGAGGTTGCATTTGTCATCTGAAAACCTTGAGAATGTCAACTCTGTTAATTTCCCAATAGCCAATCTCTTTCTCAAAAACAAAACAGAAAAAGTGTAACCTGTCATCTGGATCCTGTCCAGGTAATTTTTATGCATCTTGCTTGTTAATCTGACAGCCAGTGCCTTAGAGAAGTTGACAGTTTAAGTTATTTCTATTTAGTTAAAAAAAAATATGGACTCCAAAGTTTTCCCTCTAAAACAATCTGTTGTGTAACTTCACGCTGGCTCAGAACACAGGTGCCTGTTCTTACTCTGAGAAGATAGAGGGGAAGAGTCCAACCTGGACCAGGAATGGGGAAGGTGGGGGAGCACCTCACAGCCACCCTGTGTGTGGCAATCTTAGCTTAAAGCGCAGCTCCAGAAAAGTTTCTCACCGCCTGCTTGTATCCCTGAGTAACCTGGACCCCCCTACCCTCCAACATGGGGTGTCACCCTTGGAGCACTATGGAGATTGGTTGTGGAGCTAAAGTTCCCAAATGTTCTGCAGGGTCTATAGTACCTGCTCACGCTGCACTGACCTTAGGACTTTGGGATATCAGCATCAAGGACTGAAATTTCTCCAGGTAAGAAGACCCCCCTCCCAGGAAATGGACTCCTCCAATTTCCTCACATGATTATTCAGGCACTTTCACTTTTCCATATATAGGAGTCACTCAGGAGCAAGCTCTGAGCAGTCGGAGGGAGTGACACATCTGTACTCGGCCCTTCCCTTCTCACCCATCCTCACCTCACCTTCACGTGCTCGCAGAGTTAGGCAGAAGTGACCTCAGTGCTTCTGCCATAGAGAAGGCTCTTGGGCTTGAGGGGGGGTAGCTTGGCAAAGTCACAGTATTAAAACTACCTTGAAGCTGAGTGGAGAAGATGAATGGGCCGGTGGATGGCTTGTGCGACCATTCTCTGAGCAAAGAAGGAGCCTTCATGTTCACATCGGAGTCTGTGGGAGAGGGACACCCAGGTAAGTGGGGGCATCCTGGACCGACAGCTGCTTGTAACTGAGGAAGGCACATCTCCTAGAGGTCTTAAAAGCAATTTGGGTTAGTAACTATAAAGGCTCTCTGGTGGAACAATATGAAGTTTTTCTTATTCATTCGCTGCAGTTTTGTCAAACAGCTGCTTGCTGTGCAGGGATAAACTAAGTTGCTGGAGACAAGGGTCTCCCCTGTGGCCCACCACTAGCAGCTCAGCCTGAGGGGCTGCCACAGAGGACTCACGGTTGGCTGGGTAAACATAATGTGCATGGAAATGTATCATCAGATGTAAACTTTTTATGTGCATTTGTACACACATGTATATCAGTGCGTGTTTATATATATTTATATATGTCAACCTCCAATTGAGAGGCAGTGAGCAACTTAATAGAAAATGGTCCCTCCACCAAGACCACGCATGGGTCATTGAGCTTTGCATGTCAAGCATGCACAATTTAGTATGAACAGCAGTGCTTCTTGATATTGCTGAACTAATTTTGTAAGTCCCAGAAGCCATAGATATATTGTCTAAAAGAAGTATAGATGGATTTCCTAAAGAGAAAAGAATTTTTAAAGCAATTTTTCAGCCAATGGAAGATGAGTATACTGTGATATTTGGGAAATGAGCGGTTTCCCTGGTAACCGTGGGGACCATGATCAGAACCTCAAGTTCAAGGGCAGAAGTCACAAAATTCCGAGTGCTTTAGCATCACCAGCATGGATGTTAAAACACTGAGTGATGAGCAATTCCCCCAGCCCCCTGCACGGAGTTTCTGACTTAGTAGGCCTTGGGTGAGGCGCAAAGGTTTTGTAGTTTTAATAAGTTCCAAGAGTTGCTGGTGCCACTGGTTGGGAACCACATCTTGAAAAACACTGATCTAGGAAAAGCTTAGTGTCTAGACCAACTGATTTATGTATTTAAGCATGTCTTCAAAAATGACTTGAGTATTTGGAGTTTTAAGTAACCTATCATTAAGCCTACTTTGTCATCTGCCTCATCCTATGCTTTCTCAAAGAGATTTAATTTTCATGACTTGTATATCAAAATGCTTTGGGCATCTTGATGCATTTACTCCTTCCATGGGTGTTAACTGGCCATTCTCAACTGGGGTGGTTTTGCCCTTTCCCCCTCAAGGGACTTCATAATCCTGGAAACCTATTTGGTCATCACAGCATTGTGGGAATGGGGTACTATTGTGATTTAGCAGATAGAAGCCAGGCATGTTTACAAACATCCTGATTACAAGACCATTCCCCCTGCAACAAAGAATTACCTGACCCCAAATGTAGGTAGTGCTGCTACTGAAAATCAGCCTGACACCGAGTTTTGATGTGACTTAACTGATTTTAATGCAAATAACTATTTTCATTGTGCATAGCTTTCAGTTACTAAGTTTACTGTGCTCATAAGCTCAGATCTATTGTATGCCTGACACATTCTGGACAGCTATGTGGCTTAGGAAGGCCAGGTAGAATCTGGCAGGACAATTCGCTCCAGCTGGAAGAAACAGGTGCGTTGGCAGCCATGGCAGATGGACAGTCACACAATGCAGTGTGCTCCGTAGACAGGGAATGGAAATTCCAGCCAATCAGCTGATTATTTTGTCTCTCTATTGGCAGGCCTTCCTTTGTCTGGTCCCTGTTTCACTTGCCCCTGTAACTGTTGAGACCTGTTAGTCTCCTTTAAGTTTTGGTGATTCTCTGCTTGTCATTCCAGTTCTAAATTCCTTCATACCAGCAGGATGAATTTTCAACATCCAAGAAAACCACATATTGGCTGTTTGAAGCCTACTAAATGATACTGATAGAAATTTAGAAAGCCTTAAGAAACAGTTCCAAAAGGGCCTCCTTAAGCATTAGCTCTGTCTCTGGAGCTCAGATTGTGACGCTATCTTAATATTCTTGCTCAACTCTGGCTTTATCCGTGGTACCTCTTACCCAGCTTCTTTTATGCATTGGGCACCTGTGACCTGTGACCTTTAAACAAGCAAAGCCATCCATGACCCTCATGTGAGTGGCTGTCAGGGCCCTGATGGGAAGTCAGTGGAGGGAATTTCAACAGCAGGGGTCTTCACTAGAGAGGCTGTGCAGAAGCGGTGGGCCCAGACACACCTGGACGTACAGCCAGGATCTGCCACTGGTCAGAGGCTAGCTGGAAAAACTTGAATATATATTTAATAACAGTTTCTGAAGGAAGGATTAAAGAATTCACCTTTACTGGCAGGTGAACATTTTTAATGACAGAACTTAATCTATGCTTTTGAAAGTGGAGTCACATGATTCTAGATCGAGATTCTTGATTTAAAAACTTTAAAAAAAGGGCTCTCCTCAGTGGCGCAGTGGGTTAAAGCACTGCATTATGAAGCTCTCTGAAGTCACTGTAGCACAAGTTTGATCCCGCCAGGGAGGTGATCCACATGGCATGGCAGACCTCTCCTGACCTACCCGCTGCTCCCTTCAGCAGTATACATTGTCAATCTGCCTGTACTGCTCCCGCTCTGTCTCTGGTGAAGCCTCTCACTGCACCTGCACCTCTGGCCTGTACCCCAGTTCTGTAAGCATAAATAAATAAATCTTTAAAAAATAAAAACTTAAAAAAAAAAAAGCAGAGAGAGACTTAAGGAAATGTTTTAAAGTGACATCATAGTGATTGAAGGTAACCTGTTTGTGTGAATATGTCCAAACTTACCGAATTGTACCCATTCTCTATATTCAGGTGTTTTGTATCCTATTCCTCAATAAAACTGGGCAACTGTCTTAAGCTTTCATCTATTAGGACTAAAACTGTACAGGTGTTTGGGACACTAAATGAAAGCTTGACAGGCCACATAACCTCAAAGCAACCATGCATTCTTCTTGAGGCCATTCAGTGGTGTATGGGTTAGACCAAGAGTCTTCCTGGCAAAGAGTGGAAGGAGAAGCTCGAATCCCAGCTCATGCTGAGCTCTTGCCAGACCCACCTTGACCCAGCTGTTAAGAGCAAGTAGCCTTCGGGAGGCTGACGGAACTTTGGGAAGGGTCTGAAAGCTGCTTCTGGAAATATTGTGCAAAACTGAAATGATGGGTAGAGGTGCCGTTAGAGACTCCTTGTGTGTGGACATGAGGAGGGCCTGTGTGTGTGCAGCGCCGGGCATCTTTTGCAGCCCACAGCAGAAGGCATCTGTGCCATCTGATTTGGCACCAGTCTTACTGATGTTATTAGCGACTTCAACTTCTATTGGACTTTTCTGGATGTTAGGATTAAAGGGATCATGTTGAGGAATGATGGGCTTTTTCATTAGAAGTGTGGGGGGGCAGGTGTTTTGCTTTAACATCTTAGAAATGTTTTTGGACTACATTACCTTTGTGAGGGACTTTGTTATGTCTTTATATTATTGATATCATCCAAAATTACAAATGGGAGTAAGTAAACATTTCAAAAAAACTTCAAATGGCTTATGCTTAAAAAAAACATGTACTGTAAAAAAGCATGTACTGTTCGGTGGGGAGATTGACATGTAAACTGCAAAATACCTACTTGTTTTAACATTTCAGGTTGTTATACCTAATATGTCTGGGATTCTCATGCGTGCTTGTTCTTGTCCAGATAAGATCTGTGACCAGATCAGTGATGCAGTGCTGGATGCTCATCTCAAGCAGGACCCCAATGCCAAGGTGGCCTGTGGTAAGAAATGCCCTTTCCCCGCCTGCTGGGGACCTAACAGGCCCAGACTTGAAAGCTTGACCTGTTCTGTAGCACAGTGGAGGGTCAGAGACTACAGAGCCTGAAGCACCTTGAGGTGAACAAGGGCAGCCCTCGAGGTGAACTGCAGAGGGATCATGGAAGCAGCTGCATCAGGACCTGCTGAGGACAGCAGATCCCAGGGCCCAGAAGGGACACCACTCCTTCTCCTCCCGTGCTGCCCTGGCCTCTGCCTGGCATGGACTGCTGCTTCCCTCTCCATTGCCCCCCATGCTCTGTGTCAGACACTGCAGGGGTCTATGCCCCTTTGAGCCTAGAGTCACCCTGACATCTTTGTTAACAGCCGGGGAGCAGACTGACTGCTTTGGGTGTTTGTTTAGGATCTACTCCCATATGCCTGCAGCAGAGTTTTACAATAAGCGGTAGGGAGAGGATCACACTCTGTTGACGGCTTCTTTAAGGTGCCCTCACAGAGCTGGGTCTCCCTCCAGTCCACACAGCAATCTTACTATCTTTGTATAACTCTCGAGGAAACTGAGACCGGGTTTTGTATGAAAACTCAGGGTGACCGATTCTTTCCCACACTCAGGTCTCCAGACAGCATGGGATGATGGTGGGCGCCAGCTCTGGGGTCTCCTCTCTTTATTAGCATCTCCCTTTTCTCTGGAGTCCACTCCTTGTAGGGTTCCGTGAGTCTCCCTGTCAGCACCTGGAGGAGCTCCGGTGCAGAGTGTCCGGTTCCCGGGGTGTGGCCTTTCACTTTGCCTTTTCTCGCAGAGACGGTATGCAAGACGGGCATGGTGCTGCTGTGTGGGGAGATCACCTCCGTGGGTGTGGTGGACTACCAGCGGGTGGTGAGAGACGCCATCAAGCACATTGGCTACGACGACTCTGCCAAGGGTGAGGGCAGGCCTCTGGCCCGAAAATAGGTTCTGGTCCCTGTTGAGGGAGCTCCTGACTCAAATTTGAGGCTCTGTGGCTTAGGGAAACGCAAACACCTCCAGGAGTGAAAACACAGGTCCAAGGGTCAAATTCTCTGGCCAAAGTATGGCAGCCCAGGTGAAGTGTGCCCAGCTGAACCAGCAATGTGCCCGCACGCTGTTGGTCCTGGACTTGTTTCAGGTCCTGCCTCGTTGGTGCTGGTTTTGACAGAGGAAGAAGTGTCAAGTAAACTGAGCTGCCCTCTGCTGAGGATGAGTTCTCTTCTCTGCGGGCACTGGTCTTTTTGCATCAGCCTCAGGAGCACTGCCGTGGTTTGCATGCAGATGAGGAACTGAGGCTTAGAAATACGGGTCATTTGTGCAGGATAACGCAGTATGTGGCAGCCAGGCTGGGGACTGCTGTGCTTTCTGCTACTTTCCATTATAGGCAAGGAAAGTGAGGACTGCACCCAGAGCTGGGACGGATAGCAGGCGAAAGAGACTGGCTGCCTCAGGCTAGCTCCAGTGCCAGGCTGTGTGCGAGCCCCAAACCCAGGGGAGGAGCACAGGCCCCAGTGGAAGTGGAGGGGAACACGGTGATCAGGCGGGGTTGAGAGGGCCCAGAAGCTGATTCTGACATCTAAGGCTGGGCAGCCAGGAAGGGCCCAACTTGAAGTGGCATCAAAGAACTAGGGTGCATGGGGTAGTAGTTAAGAGCTTGTAGACACCGCATCCAGGGGTGCATCAGTGCTTCGGGGCCCTGTGTCTTCACGCTGACTTCCTCGGCAGGCTCTGGCCTCTGGTTCTTACAGTTCCCATAATGGCTCCTGGCTTTAGGTGATACATGTAATTCTGAATTTAAAAAAAATATATATTTTTGGGTTCTCAGTTGGCCCTCTCCGAATTTCCTAGAAGAAGGTAGAAGCCTCAAACAGGAGCACTGACGGCCCGCTTCTAGACCAAACCCCCATACACCTGCACCTGAGACTCAAAGTGCTGGCTTCTGCTTTGTGTCACTGACTGGTCGTTTAGGGTGGTGTGTGGCATTTGTGGGTGGGCTGGGGTAGGTGATACCCCACACCTTTGTACGTGGGAGAGTTGCTCACCACGTGGGGGCCCAGATGCACAGAAATCAGTCTGGTCCCAATCTGATGTCCCCAAGGACTCACTGAAGCACATGAAAGTTTGGGGGGTTGTCAAGAGTCTCTGGGGGGTTGTCAAGAGAACCAGAACATGAAGGTTAATTCTCCCCACCAGCACTCAGGGAAGAAACACCCTGTCCCCGGGTGGCAGCTTCCCAACTGGCTCCCCACAGAGCCTTCACCCCTTCTACCGGGAAGGCAGGCTTGCTTACATACACATGGACATCATGGAAAAGCAGACCATGTTCTGCATGAGGTCTCCAGGAAACTCCCCAGGAGCTACTGTCTCCCAGAAAGGGAGACGTGAGCGCGAGCCCAGCCCTGATGTTGGCTGTTTTCTGGGGCTGAACTTGTGTGCGCATCAGGTACAGCCGCAAGAAGGCCACAGCAGCAAGTCTCAGCCAACTACTGTTTGCTGCAGAGTTGCCGGCCTCACTGCCCACCCTGACCCTTGCTTTTCTCCCCTTCACGCCCTAAACTCTTTCCAAACCACTCTGAGCCCTTGGTTAGCTCTTCAGGACGGAGAAGAGTCGTAGTTTAGAATGAACACCACAGAGAGTGAGTGGGTAAAATGCAGAATGTTTAATGCAACATTGGCGAGTCCCTGGCCACTCTGCAGGGGTTGTTCATTGGCTGGTGCATTTGAGGCTGATGCAGAATGAGGCAGGCGCTGGAGGCTTGGTGCCCTGGTGAGCCAGGGAGAACGATTTGAATTTGGGCCTGTGGTGGAGGTGGCGGGGCTGTGAAAGTAGGAGCATCTAGACAGAGAAGCCTTGTGGAGGTGGAAAAGTCTTTTTTTTTTTTTAAGAACTGTCATATTTTTTTTGAATTTCAATGACTTGACAAAATGCCTCAAGCTTTTTTTTTTTTTTTTTAGGAAAAAAAACCTATATTTTATTTAAAAAGGACAGAACACTGAAAAAATGAATACGAAATTTTTTTGATTGTAAATGTTTTTACTTTTCTTTTTTTAAATATAGTAGTTTATTTTTACATCATTTTATACAAAGTCTATCATATTTAAAGCCAAACCTTAAATATGTTCACACAGGATGATGGAATTTAGGTGACAAAGGCTGAGTTGGAAAAAAATTCCACTTTTACGTCATTTGGTTTCCACTTGAAGCATGTTCAGAGGCAATAGATTGGATCTGGGTTTATGTACTTTTTTTTATTATTATTAACAAGCCCATTCTGGCAGCGTGGGTAGGAGCAGAACAGGCTGGCCGGAAGGTGACAGTTGGCCAACTTGCCATAATCCTGGCCCCTGTGGTGAGGCCGGGGACTCTGTGGCTCCTCAATCCCGCAGTCCCCGAGCACGGCCCAGCGTGTCTGTGCCGACAGACTGGGAAGGGAACATGCTGTCGGTGCCTGCCCAGGGGTCCCTCATGGGCTTCCTCGGCTGCAGCTAGCCCAGACTTCCCCGAACCCGTGCCCAGCCTGCTGCACCTGGTCGGGAGAGCACCCATCCCTGGCTCTGCCTCTGGGTCAAAGTTTCTGCGAGTTGCAGAGGGGGCTTCAGCCTCGAAGGGTGTGGCTCCAGGTGGCGGGCACATTGCCCCGCTCAGAGCAAGCTGGGGTCTAGAGCTGTCTCGATAGTTCGCCGACACTATTTCCTGAGTGTGTTTCGTACTTGCGTCAGGCTTCCTCCAGAATGGCTGTTCAGCAGCGGCCGCGGTGGAAGGACCTGACTCTCACTCGGAACCCTGATTTTCAACCTGAGTCCTGGGAGTTGCCCTGGGCAAGGCAGGAAGCAGTGTGAGTGCAGCCAGAGAAGCTGCAGTGAGCCTGGTTTTCGTGCTGCAGCTCTCTTTCAGATTTATCTTTTTAATCAAGGTATAGTTTCCTTCAGTAAAATGCACCGTGGGGGATTTTCTTTGACCAGAGAGTTCTGATAGTAGGGGGAAGATCCATGACCTGGCTTGTTTATGTGGGGCCTTGGTGGTGGTCCCACACAGCCCCCGGCTAGCAAGCACCACCCCCATCCTACACGCCATGCCAGGAGCTGACAGTCCCAGAAGCCTCACAGCCGCCGTCGGTCTGGCCTGAGTCCCCACTCAAACCTGCTTTTCCTTCCGCACAGGCTTTGACTTCAAGACCTGCAACGTGCTGGTGGCGTTGGAGCAGCAGTCCCCAGACATCGCCCAGTGTGTCCACCTAGACAAAAATGAAGAGGACGTGGGAGCTGGAGATCAGGTAACACTGGAGCCTGGGCGCTGTGTCAGGGCCTCGGCGTGGTCAGTCTGTCTGCAGCCTGCTCTCACCCGTGCTGGGAGCAGCCCGGGGAAATTCTCACATAGTGGATAAATCATCTGTGAGTTGGGCACACTCTGGAGATTCCGCGGGAGCACGGGGCAGTTAGGTGCCTGGCGTGAGTCGGACACCCCTGGTGTGGGGCAGCGACTTTAGGGCCCTGCCGTGTTGGGAAGGCCTCCATGACCACTGGACGTAGAGACTGGGGGACAGGAGCCACTGTCCCTCCACGAATGGCCTGTGCATGCGCTGCAGGCATGAGGCCCCACGCCAGTGACATTTTAAGTTGCCAGGAGTTGTTTTGTTGTCTAACGTGGGTGATGTGGTCCTTACTGGCTCTTGCCGCTGCCGCAGGGTTTGATGTTCGGCTATGCTACGGATGAGACAGAAGAGTGCATGCCCCTCACCATCATCCTTGCTCACAAACTCAATGCCCGGATGGCGGAGCTGAGACGCTCGGGGGTCCTCCCCTGGCTGAGGCCCGACTCAAAGACTCAGGTGAGCTGCCCCCTTTTTCCTCCTGTGGAGCTCTAGGCTCACACTTGTAATACCCCCAATTCCCCTCTTTTTTTTTTTTTAAAGATTTATTTATTCATACAGAACTGGGGTACAGGCCAGAGATGCGGAGGGTGAGAGAATTCACCAGGGATAGAGTGGGGAGCAGAACAGGCAGATCAACGAAGTACACTGCTGAGGGGAGCAGCGGGCGGGTCAGGAGAGGTCTGCCACGCCATGTGGTCACCTCCGAGGCAGGCGGGGATCGAACTTGTGAGTAAGTGGCTTAGGCTTCTTTTGCAATGCATTAACCCGCTGCGCCACCAGGGAGGGCCCACCTCTTTTTTTTTTTTTTTGAAAGACAGGTTCCTTGAGAAGGAAACACCTGCATGCTTGCAGGTGGGCAAAGAGTTGCATCTTGAAAGGGGCAGGTTTAAGAAAGAGGCACTTGCATGGACGTATGTGGGCAGGCTGTCTGGGGCAAGACATGCTGGTTCTCGTCAAGTTTAAGATCAAAATATCCGGTCTGGATACTGAAAGGGTTGTTGATATCGAAAAGAACAATTTATTTGAAAAGACTTTGGCTCTAGACTTCTCCCTTACCCCAACGTTTTGTTACGACCACATATAAAAATAAGTACAGAAAAATTGGAAGAGCAGAATTTTCTTCTTTGCCTTCTTAGCGTCTATTGATTCTGGTGATTCCCTGCTTCCTGCCACAGCCTTCCCTGTCATCTGGCTTCCACCTTTGGCACCTGCCTTTCCACACACATAGGCACCACGCTGAGCAAAGCTGGACACAGCGTGAACAACTGCTGTCAGCACCTTACTGGGGCCCTTTATTCTCAAAACAAAGCAAGCAAAAAACAAACAAAAAAGGCTTTTTACCTTTGCTGTTTCTGACTTTCTGCCCCATGGGCCCTGACCTGTCTGCTCCTGATCTCGCTGCTCCCTGAAGTGTTGAAATTCATGCCCCTAGAGTCTATATTTGCAGGAGCTGATGCAAGTGTTAGCACACCCAGGTTCACAGCCCGCATTCATTCTCCAGTTTTCCATCCACCCTCTTTGACCCCACTGACCCCTTTGACTCCCTAATATGCCACCTGTGAGTCGTATTTCTCACTCACCCTGCAAACAAATGTGCCCCGAGAGCCCGATGTGGGCAGGCGCTCTGCCCGGCGTCTCTCTCTGCTCCGCTTCCCGCGCCCCGTGTTTTCTCTGAGGGCATCCCTCTGCTCCTGCCTGGCCTGTCCCAGCTGCGCCAGAGTCAGTGCCCAAGCTGCTCCCTGACTGGACTCTCAGCTCAGCCCCTGGTATCTGCTCATTCTCTTCTACAGCTTTCTGCTTCTGTGGGAGAGCAACTCCCACTTGTTATTCAGGCCTCTGCTCTTCCAGCTTTCACCTCCACTGCTCACCTCCCCCATTTGTGGCTCAATTCTGTATCATTTCACTCATGTTCCCTTTGTTTCTTAGTGCTCGTAGCTTTGCCCCCACTCTTTGCCTTGCTTGCTGTCTTTCTCTGGTCCCTAACTGTCCATCTGTCCACCGGCCAAGTCCCCATGGATGTCTTCCCCAGCTACAACCAGATGGGGCCTTTTCTCACCCCTGTCCTTGGAATTTGGCACATGTGCTTTTTATAGCTCAGCCAGGTGCACGTGGCCTTACTTACTCCAGCTGTACAGGGGTGCATGTCTCTCACCCCAAGTGCAAGGCCCCAGGGGCCGAGGCTGCATACTGGCTGGACATGAGGCAAGGAGGGGAGCTTGCGGCATAAAAGGGACCCTTCCTCGGGCTTTCAGGTGTCATCCGCGTGACTCCCAAAGTGGAAAATAGAAACACCTGCACTCCTCAGGTGTTCTTGGAGGTTGTGGGGCACGAGAGCCAAAAGACATAGATTGCAATGGCACCAGATAAAAGGGGCCCGCAAAGGTTGGCGTGTGGGGCCCAGCGTGATCCGGAACTGTGCTGTGATGTAGGGTGAAGATTCACAGAAAAGGAGATCCCAGGATGGGGAGGGGGGAAGTCAGTGTGCGACTGAGCTTGTCTTATCCTTGTGCGAGAGTGAGGAAAGGAGGCCCCACCTCCTTCATTTTGCTTAGCTAGTAGCAGATTTCCAAGTCTGGGCAGTGAGGCGGGGCAGAGAACAGGTCCTTTCAGGGTCTCCCTTCCTTCAAGGAGACACAGCATTCTCTTTAAAATGCTGCTTTGGAAGCCAGGGTCTCGCCCACTCCCCTGCCACAGTCCCCTGAGCCAGGGGGCATGGAGGGCATGTGGGCGTGGGTCTGTGTGGGTGCTCTCCCAGCTCACTGCATGGGGCTGCCTCACCGTGGGGTGCTGTGACAGAAACAGGTTGCAGAAGGGTTTCCATCCTCCAAACAATGTTGACTGTGTACACACTGAGTCTTCACACCTGAACAAATTCTTGCTGCTGATACGGGGGACGGGGTGCAATGTGGGTGGTTATTTTTGTTCCTGATCAGAGCTGTGTTTTTCCCCCACATCATGCTGACATGATGAGATAAGAGTCTTGCTTGGAGCCCTTTGCTCTGGCAGGTCTCTGGTTATACAAGGGCGCTGCCTGGCGTTTGAGGCCACCTGGCGTTTGAGGGTGCGGCTCCATAAGGCAGAGGGCGATAGAGACGGGCTCAGTGGCTCCTCAAGATGCGAACCTTCTGGACAGACGTGATACAGCAGATCCAGTCCTGGAGCTGGCCACAGGGCCTCACCTCGGGGAGCCCCCGCTCCCCACCTCTAGCTCCAGCGCTGGTTTCTTTTGTAGCTTCATGTGTCGTCTTCACCATCTCCTTCCTCTCACCCTGCAAGCCCACAGGAGAAAAGGCTCCTTTGTTACCAGACAGACCAGGCTGTGACATCGGGCTCTTCTGCCCACCACGTGTCAGTAGAGGATGGGATCTCTGGAGAAGATTCTGGTCTGTGCTGCTGTGGGAGTGACACAGGTTTTTGAATCAGGCAGGGCACAGTATTTGGCTCTCGATGGCTGGCTTGTGACCTCAGGCAAGTTGTTTTGCTTTCCATAGCCTTGTTTTTCTCAGTTGCAAAGTAGGGGTGACAACACCTACCTTGGTACCGGGGATGGGCACAGAACCGGCCCATGCTGGTGAAACGGAACTGGGTATTTCCTGGGGGCTGATCTTCAAGGACACTGCAGGCAGCTTACTCCGTCCAGCTCTTTTCTGCTGTTCTTCTCTTTTGTCAAAATACTCAGAAATTGAAATCCAGTGCTTGCTGTTCCCTCCATCTCAGCCCGAGTCCCTCTCATCTGTCCCTACAGCAGACAAGTCCACTGGTGGGCAGTATGTGGCCTGAGGGCCCTTCACAGGGGCCAGGATAGGTGGTCCCAGGCCGCTGGGGGTCAAGAAAGGGCTTTGGCCAGGGGAGCATCTGTTGGTACACAGGACCCTCTGAAATAGAAGGAAAGGAGCCAAGTGGGTCCATGTTGAGAGAAACGCTGAAACCCAAGTTTCCTCGTGCTGCTCCAGCTGTGGCTACAGGTGGAGAGTGACTTAAGCCTCACATGCCCACATGCCGAGCACCCAGCAGTGACTCAAACAAAAGGATGTAGCAGATTAGCTTTCCTGAAGGCTCTTCAAGGACATGACCCCCCCTCCCCCGAATCCTGGGAGCCCTGGCTACCTCCTGGGCACCTATACCTGGACATAGCAGTGTTCTCTGCTCAGGACAAGGCCTCATGTGTCTCCTCCTCTCCCGGCTGCCAGGTGACAGTCCAGTACACACAGAAAAATGGCGCGGTCATCCCTGAGCGCATCCACACCATCGTGATCTCCGTCCAGCACAACGAGGACATATCGCTGGAGGCCATGCGCGAGGCCCTGAAGGAGCAGGTGATTCGGGACGTGGTGCCAGCCAAGTACCTGGACGAAAAGACCATTTACCACCTGCAGCCGAGCGGGCGGTTCGTCATCGGCGGCCCCCAGGTGCGCTCCTCTCTGATGTGTCTGTGCTGGGGTTGCTGAGCCACCGCGGCTCTGCGTGGCTGGAGGGTCTGGTGGGGGTGAACTGTGAAGTCAGCCGCCGTGGTCTCCATCGGTGCCTGAGGAATCGCAGACATGCCCCCAGGAGCTCCCACTTAGTGGTGCTGTTCCCCCCAACCCCCAGACACCTCAGACCTATTGACTCGGTTGCCCAAGGTTGACCTTTTCCAGGCGGTGCTCACCAGGTGTTCCACGTAGACTCTGTTTAACCCCTGTGGGTGCCAAGGTGGGACAGTTTTTGTAGATGAGGATGGGGTGCAGAAGTGGATTGTTGCAGATGTTTTGCCACAAAACAGAGCCCCTATCATGGGCTCTGTGACCAAGTGCAGCGGCAGAAACATAGGGTGAAAGAGAGGGAACACTTAGCTTTTCTGGCAGGGCTTCCCCAGCCTAGACGGACCTATGGACCTTCGCTCTCTGGGAGGAGGGCATACAGTATGCAGACTGTCCCCAAGCCCTTGAATATCGACCTGCCTTCCTTGGCAGCATCTTTTTGGATGGGTATGAGAGAGAGTAGACATTTGAGGGGGAGATGAGCAACATGGCATTTGCTGGGTGGCATCTTCCTCCTGCGGCTGGATGTCTCCATTGTGATAGACACATGGCGCTGGGAGCTGGCTTTGGTTCCCTGGCGTTGCCTTTGCCAGACTGTCTGATGAGACTCTTGATGGCTTTCCTGACTCTGTCGCTGCTCGGGGTCTGAACTGGGATTTGGGCCCAGTATTTCTGGCTGACTCCTAGCCAAGGGGTCTTTGAACGATGCCCACAGACAGTCTCAGGGTGCCCTTTCTAAGTTGTTGCCAATGGCCATCACGGTGTTAAAGCCGCCTCCTTCCCCCAGCTACTGGGGGGCTCTGGTTCTCATCTCCTCCCTTCATTTCTTCCTTTCCCTCTGCAGGGGGATGCAGGCGTGACTGGACGGAAGATTATTGTGGACACCTATGGCGGCTGGGGGGCGCACGGAGGTGGGGCCTTCTCTGGGAAGGACTACACCAAAGTGGACCGCTCAGCAGCTTACGCTGCCCGCTGGGTGGCCAAGTCCCTGGTGAAAGCAGGGCTGTGCCGGAGAGTGCTGGTGCAGGTGCGTCTCCCCCCACTCTGCCCAGAGCAAGGCCCTGCTGGCCCTGGGGGTGGGGGAGGCCACCACTTTGTCAGGGCACGTGACTCTGCATGTGTCATGCTGGGTCGGTACTCTGAAAATCCGAGGGTTGCGCCCAAGTTCCATGCAGATGCTGTACAGAATGACCCGCCATGAAGCGGGCGGGGATTTCTAGGCAGGCAAGGTGGGAGGAGCACGTTGGGCAAAAGATGTGTGGCCCCTGCCTGCGGGCACCGGCTCTCTGTGCGGGCCCCAGCACAGAGGCTTTGGCCCCTGACACTGCTGTCTTCTGGAAGGTTTCTTACGCCATTGGTGTGGCTAAGCCCCTGTCCATCTCCCTCTTCACGTATGGAACGTCTAAGAAGACAGAGAAGGAGCTGCTAGATGTGGTGAATAAGAACTTTGACCTTCGGCCTGGCGTCATTGTGAGGTAAAAGTGCCCCACATGGCTGCTGTTAGGCAGGACTTGCTTTTCTTCCCTCGATGCGCAGGGAGACAGGGCGGAGGGCTGTCAGCCTCCCTCAAGCCCCTTGGACACCCCAGTGCAGGATGTCTGGCTTTCAGGAGGCGGGGGCACGAGATCACTTCTGGCCCTGTAGACACTGTGGTCAGTGGGATTGTTGTTGAGCAGGTGTGTGGGGGTGGGGGTAGGGGAGAATCTTAGGAAAATGTCTAAGGCCAACTGTGATGGGCAAATCTAGTCTCATCTGCTTTTGTTCCTGATGCCGCCCTTGCTTTCTGGAGCTTAGCCTCGTTGATGTAGGTCCGGACCAGGTCATCGGAGTGGAGAGGAGGAAGGCACATTAAGGGCAGAGTTCAAGTCCTGGTCCCTAGGTGTGCCTGGGTGGCTGGACACCCCTGCGCCTCTGAGCCTGTCTCCCGGGAGCCATCGCAGTAGTGTGGTATAGACAAACTCCTGGGAAATTGCCAGGTGGCAATAGTCCACCAAGAGAAGCCTGTTCCATTTCAGTGGCCCTTTCTTCTCTGAACATGCAGGGATCTGGACTTGAAGAAGCCCATCTACCAGAAGACGGCATGCTATGGCCATTTTGGAAGAAGCGAGTTCCCATGGGAAGTTCCCAAGAAGCTTGTGTTCTAGAGCTGCTGGGAGCTGGGCCAGCTGTGTCCTGGAGGCAGCAGGGTGGCCATGTTCCTCTTCTGCAGGACCCCAACTTTCAGATCCCCCCAGCTTCTGACTGCCTCGGGGAGTGCCTCCCCCAACTCTACTCACCCCACGCCCTCCAGTCCTGTCTTCACCCGGTGGTCAGGAGGCAGAGGGCTCCATGGTGCTGGGGGTCAGGACGCCTCCTAAGGATGGTCATGATGTCCCCTCCCCCCACCAGGCCAAGGTGATGTTAATTTGAGAAATCCCCCCTTTCTGTCAAGAATCAGTCCCGCTTGACCTTGTAGCCTGGACCTTCACCAGCTCCTCTGTCCCTCCCCATGCCCGTGGTGCCTTTCACTGGACTCAGGGCTCCCTCTAGGCTGGCCCTCACACCTGCACCCTGGGCCAGGCCTTTCCTCCCATGCCAGGCATCTGGCAGGGACAGAGCATCTACAGTGTGGGAGGCCCTGAGCTAATTCCTGATTCCCGTTCTTCACTGCAACATGATGAAGTAGCACCTCTTCTTATCCCCACTTATACCTGGGGGAACTGGGGCTCAGGGTCCCAAGGTAACATTCACAAGGTCCTGCGGTCACATGTGTCAGGATCTAGACCTGAATCCAGAACTTTCACTCAGGAAGCTGTACACCTCCGTCTCACACCAGAAACAGGTCTGAGCAGAGACAGAGCAGATTAGGCTGTCCCCAGCCTGAGGTTGCTGGGAATTAGGGGACTAACCCACTGGCTCTAGATGGCCCCTGGAGTCCTTGAGCAGCAAGGTTAGGACCGTTCCAGAGGGCTCTTTTATTTCAGAAGACAGGTGAGGGTAAGTTGGCCATGGGGCTAATCAGTGGCTGGCATTTAGTTTTGAGAAGCAACCACATGACCCCAGCCCCTGAGCATTCAGGACTTTGGTTTGGAAAACTCTGGGGTGAGTGGTTCAAATCCAGTCCAGGTCTGGCTGGGCTTCCTGGAGCAGAAGCAGCAGCTTGTCCTAGCACAGGGTACAGTCCCCAAGGTGGGAGACATGTGCCCCTCAAGTCTTCCTCTCTTTGTCCCCTCAGCGCCCCCTGCAGTCGGAACACTGTTGCAATAATGCAAGCCCCTCAATGCCCCTTTCAGAGAGGCCGGTCCTAAGGCCTGAATATTTAATGTTAGATGGTGACCCCAGTGGCAGGGCCTACTCCTGGCGGTGGGCAAGTTGATTGAGATGTCATAAGCAGATGCCACTTGCGTCGCAAAGCCACTTGGAGGCTTCTGGGGGTGGGGGTGGGGCAGGTCTACTCCCAGGGTAGCCAATGGCCCCGGGCTGTACTAGGGTCTCAGAGACTGCATCTTTACCTGCTTTCTTTCTGTGACCAGCACCTGCTACACCAACTGTCCTCATCCTGGGGCTCTCACATAGCATCTTTGCCTTCTCCCAGCTCTCTGGACTTCAGGGAAGGAGCCCCAGGGAAAGAGTGGGGGCTGGTCTTCCCATGGCAAAGGGTGGCTGTGCCTTGGAGTTCATAAAGTCTCGTCTGTGCAACCTGCATCTGGGACCTGGCTTGGAGCACAAAGAAACTAGGATTTCTCTATCAGGAAGGGCAGCCCCTCAGGGCAGGGCAGGAGCCCACATTCTCATACGGATGTGACCTGGAAGCTTTGGTTTCTCCACAGGACTCCCAGTTAGTCTGAAAATCTCAGGGTTCTTTCAAGGGAGGGAGCCACAGGTTTGCAAGTGGCTGAGTTCCTCTAACTTGAGTCATATTTGAAAAGAAAACGCAGAATTTTATATTTCCTCCACCACTTAGACAGGTCTTTTTGGATCAGTGTTGTTTATGTGGAACTAAACCTGTGTTACTAGTTCCTGCTAGGACTGTGAATAAAGGCTCACAGAACAACTGCCCTGCACTGTGTGTGTCTGCATGCTCCCAGCAACCTCTCCATCTGACCAGCCTTACCTGACTCCCCCGCTTCCCCCAGAAAGTGGGGGTCCACCCCTCAGTGTTCCCTCTTCCCGTCTGTGTGGCCTCATCCAGCTCAGGTCAGGTTTTGGTTCAGCAAATCGCAGCATTCCCACACTTACTGTGTACCACACACTACTGAGGAAGACCGAGGTGAGAAACAAGAACTACATGTGGGCAACCCGGTCCCCCAAAGAGGGTGGGGTATGTGACTGAGGAGGCCTGGGGGCAGGGATGGTATGAACCCCTCCCCCACATCACAGGGGGAGGTGGCCTGGCCATGCCCCACTGGTGCCCTGGAAAGCCATCCCGGGGTGGACGGCTTCTGGTGTCCAGCCTCTCCTCCAGCCATGGCCACGTGAGCTCTCCAGCAGGAAGGTCGGCCCTGAGCCCCAGATCCTGCCCAGGCTCCCCAAGGGCCCTCAAGCAAGAGTAGGGCCACCTCCACTTCCCTTCAGGCCCACTCCACCCCTCACCTCCGGGACTCCCAGCCAGAAGCACCCTGCTCACCTCCCCTAGACAGGAGGTGGGATGGGTGGGTGGGGACCTCGATATTTGTACCATACCTAAAATCTATGGGGCTGTTCTACTGTCATCCTTGGATGAAGAGCTCCCTGAGGGGTGACACCCCTCCCTGCCATCTCCCAGGTCTGCTGGGGGTGGGGGTGAGGTGATGAGAGTGCCGCCCTCCCCTCCGCCTCCCTGCATGGCACTCTGAAGGCAGCTCCTAAACTATGTGTATCTATCGGTCTAGATCTACATCCACAGCTGTATCCACACCTGTGTCCATGTCTGTAACTGTAGCTACACCTGTATGTCACTTACACCCAATCTAGATCTAGATCTGTGTGTCTAATATATGGTATCAAAGCATGCAGAGTTCCTGAGTTCTCAGCTTGAGTTATTTCCATCTTCTTCTGTCTCTGCTTTCCTTGTATTTCATTTTCTATTTCTAACTTTCTGAACTGCATGTTGGTCCAGGTGGCTTCTAGATGGAAAACATAGCCAAGAGGGAGTTTTAAAATTTCTACCTGGCTGTTTTTCCTTCGATTTTTTTTTCGCTTACTTCTAGTTTCACCAACAAGTAATCACAAAAACAATCTCCCTGCACAAAGCCCCCTTCCATGAAGGTGGAATGAAAGGTCTGCCTGCTTCTCCTTTCGATTGACTGCAGTTCTGCATGTAGCCACTAGGAGGAAGAGCTGACCCACACGCTCCCTACGGGATAGAGGGTTTTTGGGTATTTCTCGTTGGGTGTCAAAATTCAGGGTCCAGGGTCTGCTCTCCTTCACTATCGTAATGGGAGGCCATTCAGGACCCCCAGGAGACCAGAGCTCATCCCACATTCCGTTGCTGTGGAGTACGAAGTCAATTGAGATAACGTTTCGTGTATCTGTCTGCCCAGATTTCTCAGGACCTGGACTGCTTCCTCTTTTCCCTTCGTCAGGCGAAAAAGTTTCTCAGGAGGGAAAAGGATACTACACAGGAGCAGGGTTTATAAGCTGTGCGTGCAGTGAGGAACTGTTTTTATGCCCCTTGTACAGGCATGACAACCTGAAGGTCATTGCCAGCTCCACAGTTATCAGTGAGTGCTCAGTGTGTGTGTGCTTGTGGTATTCCCGACTTACACAATAATGGCTAATGCCCAGGATGAAAGAGGGGGAGAGAAATGGCCGAGCACTTCTGGGGTAGAGAAATGGACACTGTTATTACTTCTGTAATCTGAGTATTCACTAGTAAATTACAGGAGGGTTCACAGAAGCCAGTTGTACTCAGAGAATAGAATGTGCCCAGGTCACAGTACTAGAAAGGAGCAAATCTTTCTAAGGAGATCTGTGAAAACTCAGGTAGCTAGCTTGATGCCATGGGGGAACTGAGGGGCAGTCAAGGTGAGCTGGGGGGCAGTCAGGGCCAACAGAGTATCCCATTGTGTGGGGCTGTGGACTCAGACCTCCTCAGAAGACAATGGGATGGATGGAGGTAAGTATGCGTGGAATGGCAGCAAAGGTCTCTTCAGTTCCACATAATGCTGGGCTGGAACCCAGAATTCTTCTGAGGGGCTCAGTTGCGGTTGTTTAGAGCATGTGTTAGTTTTGATGGTGAGGACCCTGGTTCTGGCCAAGCACCAGAGGCAAACTGTCTGCTTCTTTCCTGGGGAGGTGAGGGAAGACAAAACCCAGCCTGGGGGCTGCTCATCCCTTCCTATCTTTGGTCACAGGGTATCACCCTTTTTATAGCTTGGGAGATTGGGTTTGCCAACATTTTGTTGAGGGCTTTGGCATGTATTCATAAATGGCTTTCATACATTTGAATGACGTCTTTCTGTATACATAAGTTTCATGTATGGTTCTCAACTCTATGCACTATAAACTTGAAGCTGTGCTACATATGCCAATTATATCGCAATAATGGCAAAAAAAAAAACACAACACAAGTTAAAGAGCTTCTGCACAGCAACAGAGACATTACAAAAAACAGACACTCCACTGACTGGGAAAAAATTTTCTCACACAAAACTAACAATAAAAGATTGATCACAAAGATATACATAGAGCTGATGGAAACTCAACAAAAATAAACAACCCCATCAAAAAATGGACAGAAGAGCTAAAAAGACACTTCTCCAAAGAGGTAATGCAGATGGCCAACAAGCATATGAAAAAATGTTCAACATCACTTGTAATAAGGGAGATGCAAATTAAAACCACAAGATACCACCTCACCCCAGTGAGAATGGCACATCTTAAAATAACTAGCAACAACTAGCAAATGTTGGTGAGGATGTGGAGAAAAATGAACTCTCCTGCACTGCTGGTGGGAATGCAAACTAGTACAACCACTATGGAAAACTGTTTGGAGGTTCCTCAAACTGCTAAACATGGAGCTTCCCTACGACCCAGCAATCCAACTCCTAGGTATCTACCCAAAAGACACAAAAACACTGCTTCAAAAAGATACCTGCACCCCCATGTTTATTGCTGCTTTATTCACAATTGGAAAGACATGGAAACAGCCCAAATGCCCAAAAATCGATGACTGGATTAAAAAGATGTGGTACATATACACAATGGAATATTACTCAGCAACCAAAAAAAAAATAAAGACATGTCTTTTGCAGCAACATGGATGGAGCTGGAGAAGATCATGCAGTGAAATAAGCCAGAAAGAGAAAGAAAAATACTGGATGGTTTCACTCACAGCAGGAGTATAACTGATCAGGTGAGCAAGTAATGATAATGATGAACAGCTATATACCAGAGACATTTTACAGGGGTAGAGTGGGGAATGGGGTCAAAAACAGTGGGGGGAGAGAAATGCACTGGACTATGGTGATGGCACATGGGTAATTTAGTGATGGAAAGCCCACGGGGATTACAAGTGAGATGGAAAAATGCACAAAATGATGTAAAAATAAACTACTATATTATTTAAAAACAAAACAAAACACAACACCCTACAACATGATGTGCTTCTCTGGAACACACAGGAGAGTGTTCAAAACTCTCAGAGAAAGATGAGAAGGCTAACTTGGTCTCATTTAAAACAAGTAATGTAAAATTTAAAACAAAATGCTATTTTTAGGTAATAGCAATAGATTTATATTATTAGTTATATTATTTTGTAATGAAATGACAGTTGTCAGAGAGGCACTAATGTCATGTGTGCAGGTGTGTATATCCTACACACACACATTTGTCTGATGTGTTGACCTCATCGTGGGAAGAATAGCCTCAATTCTCTTCAATGCTTTTATCCTTCATATTGTTGAGATTCCTGAGATTAGACCTTGAGCTATACATAACTAGAAAATTAACTTCTTCATCCCTTTGTCTCTAGATAGATGTTAAGTAGCCTCTAGCTGTGGGGCTATATGGCAGTAGATTTAAAGTGGATCAAAGGAATTCTGGATAACAATCTTGTGTGAGTGGCCCAGGCAATCCATGCACCACTACACCCTTCTCAGTGCCAGTTCCCTGCCCCCTTAGTTGACTTAAGTCAACTAAATGAGGATTTACTCTCTGTGCACCCCAGAGTGACCATCTAAAGTGGGAACTGGCTCATGGCAACCATATACAGCTCCCTTACCCAGCTAGACCCCAAGGAACTGGAGGAGCAGAGAGACAAGGAATCACCAGCAGCTGAGAAGTCTGGGACCCATGCCCTGTCCTCAGTGTGAGTGCACAATCTCCGTTTTGCCCTCCTCAGTCTTACTTTACCCATAGTTCTCAGTGAAGTGTTTTCTCCTGGTTTAGTTCCCTTTAGGAGAAGGATCTTTTGCCATTGGAATTAAACACTGAGTCGTACTAGATTGTCTACATGGCGTTGGGAGGTGGTTGCTGGAGCCTGTGAAATGTGAAGAGTGTGTCCTCACAGGGACATTGGTCCAGAAAAGTTCAGAACTAAGACTATTTGTCAGCAGGATTCTTTTATTCATGACATAATTAACAGTTGCAGGTACAATGTGCTAATAAATTCTCTACAGAACATGTTGTCTTAAAATTACCTACAGATAATACACCCTCTTCCTGAGGGCTTAGTCTTGCTCATCATTCACCTGCCTCAGGTGTGAACCCATACTTGTAAATAAATAAATGGGGGAGAGGAAAAGGAAAGAGAAATTTTGAGGAGGAATGGGATCTTTACAAAGTTGAAAGTACCCCCTGACAAGAGTTATTAGTTCAAAAAAGAGGAAGAGGCAACTTTATAGTGGAAAATTCTAGAACACACCATCTCAAACAAATGATCAAGTTTGCACAGAAGAGCAAAGCCCCTTTTTTATGATATCCTGCCAGAGGAGCAGATCCTGAATCTTCTCAAGGAGACACATGTGGGAAAACAGGGGCCTGCTACACATAATAACCCTGTGACTGAACCATGTGGCCACTCTCTCAGGCCCAGGCTTCTGACACAGGAGTTGTGAGGCCTGGGGGCTCAGTGGTGAGGCACCTTGTTTCAGCTCAACCTGACCACCCAGACTTGAGCCAGAACCATTGCAAGGAACCACAGTCACCCTTCCGGGCGCTACCTGGAGCTGGGCTGGTGGCAGGATGACATGGCCCCATCATCCCATGGGGATTTTCCTCTGTGTCACCGAGCTGCCTCCTTGCCTGGGGAGAAAAAGAGCTCCATCCTGGTGTGTCCTCTCTGGTTGGGGATTGGTGATCCTGGGACTGTGAATGTGTCACTAGTCAGGATTGGGGGGTATGCAGAGGCCCAGGGGTAGGGGCTGTGTTGACCACACACCTGCTGGGTTCCCGTGCAAGCATTCTCATCCCGCACCTCATGGGAAGCTGACTGGGGGCTGTGGGTGACCTCCCATTGATGAGGAATTTCCCTTCTTACAGTCCCACAGGTTCTCATCAGCAGGTTTGCTGAGTGCCCTCCACCTGAGTGTTCTGAGGAAGTGCTGTGTAAACAGAGCTCCGCTTCCTGCTTGGCTTTGTGATGAGGCCTCCCTGGAGTGAAGAGGCAACCCAAGAGGCTATGTCTGTATAAAAGGAGATGTACGCTTCTCCTCTCCAACCAGGAGGCAGAGATCCACGTAGGCTCTGCGTGTGTGGGTGAGTTTAACACCCTCTCCCTGGGCCTTCCTGGTGCATGGGTGGCAGGCAGTGAGAAAGAGCTCAGCAGGTACAGAACTGGCTAAGGACAGTGGGAAGGTGGGGGCTGTCCACGCACCTGGGAACAGGCCCACTGCATCATGACTGCAGGTACCTGAAGATGGCCTTCCAAACATGCCCTCACCGTGCTGAACTCCTCTACCGGGCTTCTGCTGGTGAGGGAAAGAACACCCAGCAAAGGGGAGGGGACACCCCCTCTCTAGTCCTCTTCAGGCTGAGTGAAGTAAGGAACCCTGAGGTCCTCTCACTCTCCAGAGCTATTTCTCCTACTCCTCACCTGCCCAGGTACCACGTCACCTCACATCGAGGGGTCGAGACGTGAGAACATATTACATACCAAATGGTGTCAGAGAGGAGGAGAAGTCTGGGTCTTCTCAGAGTCCTGTCTCTACCTGTCCTGGGCCTCTGGCTCTGCCATGTCTGAGTTTTGGCAAAGCACAGTGAGTGAAGGGAGAACTTTGCAAATACTTCACAGAGGCCGACAGCCCTTTCTCTCCGCAGGAGCAGCTGTGCGGGAGGAACCATGTTGCTGTGCTCCGTGGCCCTCAGCCTCATCCTGCTGGGGGCTCCTGGCGCTGTGTGTGAGGTGCAGGATGTTTGTGCTGGAAGCCCTGGCATCCCTGGGTCCCATGGCCTGCCAGGCAGAGATGGGAGAGATGGTGTCAAGGGAGATCCGGGACCTCCAGGTACTGGACAGGACCAGTGACTTGTCCGCTGCTCTGGGCAGCGTCCGAGGGTCTGGTGGTTGGCGAATGGTGGGCGTTTCCTGGGGACCTGAGACTAGAGCATCCCTGGGGCACCTATCCTTGGAGTGTCAGGGCCCAGCCCAGCTGGGAATGGAGGGCAGTCACCTCAGTCCCTCTTACTTGTGGTAGCTACCATTACCCTATGTCCCCTTCTCTCTGCAGGTCCCATGGGCCCCCCTGGAGGAATGCCAGGCCTTCCTGGGCGTGATGGGCTGGTTGGAGCCCCTGGTAGTCCCGGAGAGCGCGGAGAGAAGGGAGAACCTGGCCCACGGGGCCCTCCAGGTGAGCAGGGCGGGGCAAGCAGGCCGTGGCCCATGCTTATGGGGTCAGTTACTTGAGGGAGGAGGCATATCAGACAAAACCATGGTGGTCCCTAGAGGGCACACTGATCAGTGTAAACAGGAGATTAGGAGGTGGAGGAGGGAAACCAGGGGGGTCTGGGGAGCAGGCCACATACAGGGACTGTCAGGTGTGGGAATGTCCCATGCACAACAATGCTGATGGGAAACTCCAGATGTCAAGGTGAGAAGTGGGTCAGCATTGGACGTGAGGGGAGTGCTCTCTAGCTAGGGTGCTGGGGAGGTTCTGAAAGATGTATGTTATGTGGATCAAGGACCCAGGCGGGTGGAAGGGTCGGGAGCCCCTCATGCAGAAGGGAACTCCAAAGCTCTGAGCAGTAAGCCAGGTTCATCCGGAGAGTGCAGAGATAAACCATCTTTGCTATTAGAAGAGGATGAAGGAGAGGGCTGTGCCCAGAAGCCAGAAACACCCACCGTGGGCAAGCAGAGCCACTAGAGAACGCACAGGAGAGAACAGGAGGCCTCTGAGCAGCTCGGCATGGAGGCGCGTTCATCGCAGAGTATAAGGGACTCAGCGCACACTCTCTGGAGCTGGGGCCTGGGCCCTGGGTATGGACAAGTGAAGGGCAGATGCCAGGCTTCAGCTGGCAGAGTGCCTGCTTGGCAGCGAGGGAGGTCTTTGTTGGTTTGCCCCTCATTGTGGGTGGGGCTCTCTTTACAGGATTTCCAGCATTTTTAGATGAGGAGCTGAAAACCACACTCCATGAATTCAGACACCAAATCATGCAGTCAATGGGCGGTAAGCAGACCCCAGGGGCTTCTTAGGGTAGGCTCCCCCCTAAGCTCCCTTTATTGTCAGTGCCCACTGAGGTGTCAACAAACAGGCATGGACATGCAGGTCTTGGGGACAAGAATGACGCTTCCCTTCTCCGATGTTCTGAATGAACCAAGAGATGGGTGCAGACACAGACTGGCTCCTGTGTCTTGGGAAAGCAAGTCCCAGTCTAGCTGGCTTTCTGTTGATTCCCAGAATCTGCAGCTTCTGGCACATAATAAACCGTCAATGAGTGGTGGGTGAATGGATCAATGAATGAGTAGGATGAATAGAGCATGGAGGGGGAGTTTGGAGAGCATGGGTTAGGAGGAGGGGTAGACAGAAAGAGCTGAAGAGACAGGGAGAGCGCAAGGGTAGACAGCCCCAGGGAGGGCAAGGGTCTTAGAGACATGGACACAGTGGCCTGACCTGCGTTCCTCTGCTCCCAGTCCTCAGTTTGCAGGGCTCCATAGTGATGGTGGGAGAGAAGATCTTCTCCACCAATGGGCAGTCGGTCAGTTTTGAGGCCATTAGAGAGACATGTGCCAGAGCGGGAGGCAGCATTGCTGTCCCGAGGAATGCAGAGGAGAACGAGGCCCTTGCCAGCATAGTGAAGAAGCACAATATGTACACCTACCTGGGCCTGCAGGAGGGCTCCACGCCTGGAGACTTCTACTACCTGGATGGGGCCCCTGTGAATTACACCAGCTGGTACCCAGGGGAGCCGAGGGGTCAGGGCAAAGAGAAATGTGTGGAGATGTACACAGATGGGCAGTGGAATGACAAGAACTGCCGGCAGTACCGACTAGCCATCTGTGAGTTCTGAGCAGACCCAGCATGCCAGCGGTCCTGTCTCGCCTCCAGCCTCTAACCTCTGTGAGATGCTATACCTCCTTCTCTGTAAAAGTTATTTGTGGCTAATAGAGTTGGAAGCCTGCTAAGCAACGCCTCTCCCCGTGGGCCCTAACCCCTCCTCACAATCACTAATCAGCCTGACAGCCCCTTCTCTGCCCCGCACATGAGGCCACTCACCCAACTTCACCCTTTGGCAAGAGATGGAGACCCTTCTTCCTCTTTGGTCAAGGCAATTCTGAGGTCCTGGGGTGGAAGTCCCCCCAAAATCACACAGAGGGTGCCTGCTTCCTGGCCCACTCTGTTCATTCTCTGAAGTCCACAGCCTGCCTCTCCTCATCAAGATTTAGCAGTAGTGGTTAGGTACGATTATAGAGACAAGCAGACTTCTGGGAAATCCCACATATGTGGCACTAAGGATGCATTTGGGTTTATCTGGTAGCCTGGACCTCTGGGAGCACACCTGGCCAGTCACTCTGTGAGGTGAGGGGGCCAGGTGTTCCCCACATGCTTGAGGCCAACCCAAACCGAGCCACTGACATGTATTTCCACTTCCTTGAGTCTGGGAGTGCCAATTCATCTCCCTGACCTAAAAGCGGTCAGCTTATACCTCTGGGGAAGATCTTACCTGCCACCAAGACATAGCACAAGTGACCTCTTGCTTGCTGATAGGCACATCCTCACACCACCTCACACCTCAGCATTACACCACTGGCTACTTACTGAGCATATATTTTGTTCCAAGAACTTTAGAAGTACTTTTCAATACATCTCATTAAATATTATTTAACCATCATTAGTCTCTCCACTTTTGATGTGAAGAAATGGGAGCTTTGAGAAGTTAAATGTTTTTCTGTTATGCTCTATTCATTCCATTACACACAGCAAGTGACAAAGATTGGATTCAGACCCATCTACCTGGATCTCATATTCATAACCTCCTCACCTCTCACTGGACAGATGATTTGTGTCTAATAAATTATGAATGTGTTAACATGAGTTTCCATGGCTTTGGTTATATCACAGTTTGGTATTTTTCTGAATCAAATGAACTCTGACACAAAGACCCCACTTAACCAAAAAAGGGGAACTTGAATGGTCGGTTTTCTTTATTGGGGGGGAGGGCAACCTGCTCTCCACCCTCAGGCTGTATGGCAAGTGGGGTGTTATGGAAGCCTCTGGAAGAACATGTGCACAACAGAGCTGACGCTGGCACTGACACCATGCGGATCCCTTGTGGTGGGAATGTCATGCCTTCCCTTTCTCTCCCAGTCACTCGGGTGTTTTCTATAGCCCAACAGTGATATCTTCTGGGCCCTGTCCCTGTCTTCACGAGCCTCCTCAGCCTCAGATCTGCAGGGAATGGCACCCTGGCCATGGCCCAGGCCTGTGGAGGAATTAGAACATGTCTCTGCTTGCTTGAGGAGGCAACCCACATGTGTTCCATCTCCAGAAAGTTCCCACCTCTTCCATACCACATCTTTGAACTCTTCCCCCTGCTCCATGTTCATGGGCAAGAGGAAGATCTGGGTCAAACCCCACAAAGACAGGTGGGAATGAGCAGAAATACTTCTTATTATTTTATGCATGCTAATTTCTAAACTGATCATCTCGCTACATGTGCTCAGGGTGCAGTACACAAATTATCAAGAAGTGTCCCAACCAAAAACAAAGAGAAACAGAGACAGAGAGAGAGAGAGAGA